GGGGGGGGGGGAGATAGAAATTTTATAAAAACGAAAATCACATAATTATAGCTAGAATACAGCTATAATAGTCAAGCAGTCAAACAGCTGAATCCAGGAGACCAACACCGAAGTATCCTAGAAACAACTACACTAACACACTCACAGCATAACACACTATACAACTTCCAACAGGAGAATAACATAAACACGCTCCCAACATGAGAAAAACAACACTACAAAACGACGACACAACTCCCAAAGAGGAGAAAAAACAACCCAAAACACAACAAGTTACAAAACAACACCAAACACACAATCCAAAACAAACTAAACTAAATAAAGTAACACCAAAACCCTTCCCCAGAAGACAAGCCGAGCCCAACACGAAGCACCCGCAGAATCCAGGTCGACCACCCAATAGACTAGCCAAAAATCAAAGAATCGGCTCCCAAAACTGCCTAACGCCTAGATGAAGCAGAACTATATACCCCGACCCACTCTAGGAAAACGAAACCTGACCCACAGCCGGAAGAGCAGCCACTCACACCCCCTCACACCACCACTGCCCCGGACCCGACCAACACCACTGGCTAAGGTCCGGCAGCGCCGACCTCCTATCCACCCCACACCAGGGAGCACCGGAACAAAAGACAAAGCAAGCCATGCCTCAGCCCCTTTCGACGTGCCACGAACATCGCGAGTAGTTAGGGCCACACCCAAGCCGCAACCTCATGCCACTACCCGGCACCACCTCAAGACCAATAAGGATGAGGAACCGCTACCTCAATCGGCAACCTGAGACTGGTGACACCCGACCCTCGGGCGGTCTTCATCCTCCACCGGTGCAAGATAAGAAGGGCCGCGCGAAATTAGGGCAAGGTAGTGAGGCTACGGGCCATCCACTGGCAAAGGGCTCGGTTGCCTGTCGGGGAAGACGCACGCAAAAATCAACGGCGAATAGAAGAAGGGTTTCGAATAGGGGTTGGGGTTAACTTTGGATTATTTGTTTGCTTGTCTATTTTTTTGTTTTTGTCTACCTGTAGCCTTTTCTTTCCCAATCCCTAAATCCCTTGAGTTCGATCTTCTGGAAGGTGCTTTAAGTGTTTCTGGGTTTTGTGTTCCTTCATAGTTAAGCTTTAAAAGTTTGTCCTTTCTGATAGGGTGGAGAAAGGAGTTCAACTATAAAATGACGATATATCACCTGGGATAAAGGATTGCCAAGTAAGCTTGATTGGCAAGATTTTCAGAGGGAGGAAGGTCAATTTTGGGGGTCTCAAGACAACCCTACCAAACATTTGGATGACACGACAGGCTTTCTCTATCCGAAGTATTGGGCCAAATATGTTTCTGTTCATATTCTAGAATGAAGAAGATAAGGGAAAAATAGGCAGGGAAAGACTTGGAGCTTCGATGGACAATATATCCTATTGAAGAATTGGGATCCATATAAGATATATTTTGTGGAGGTTGAGGAGAATGTGAAATTGTAGGTTCAAATACATGAACTTCCACTACATTGGTTATCGGTAGAGGTTGGGCTAAAAATTGTCAAGTGATGTGCAAAGTGCTGGATGTTTTTGTGCCTGGGGCAGGAAGTTCGAGTGGAAGAATTATCAAGGTTCGGATAAGAATCTTAAAGATCCAATCCTTTGAGGCAAAAAAATCACTGTTGGCCAGGACCAAAAGTGGGTGGAGTTAAGGAATGAAAACCTGCTTAATTTTTTCTTTTATTGTGATCGCATAGGACATGGTGATAGGAGTAGTGAAAAGAATGGGGGGCTTAGGAGAGAGTTGTCTTTTGATAACTTCAGATCCTTTGTTAATGACTTAGGTGGGGTAGAGCCTAGAATCTCTGGTCATTCTTTTACCTGGTTCAACAATAGGAGAAGTCTTGAATTCACCGAAGAAAAGCTTGATAGAATCTTGTTATCTCCTCAGTGGTCAAGCCAGTGTCCTAATGCTATAGTTGATCATACTTCTCTTAATCATATTTTTCCATCCATCATTTAAAAAAAAATAAAAAAAAATATAAAAGAGGCACAATAAAGATAAAGAAAAAATGTAATACAACAAAGTGAAGAATAAAGATTAATAATATCATTCAAAAAATTCTCTAACAATACCGTTTTTGTTAAAAAAAATAAAATAACAACTTCACATTTTAAACTATTTTTTTTAATTATTTCAATCGATAGTAAATTCTATTTTCTATTCTATAAAAGATAATAATCAAGCTAAAAATCAATTCCTATTAAAAATTTCAGACACATGGCGTGCTTGTTTATAAATAAATTAGTTCAAAATGAGTTTTTCGATTAATAAAGGTTAATTTTGAAAAAGTTGGATTGTTAGTTGTTCGTGGGATTTTGTTTTTATATTAAAATAATATTTAAAATTAATCATTCAAATTTATCTAATGTAAAAGTAGGAGAGAAATGATGTGAAGTAATAATTATATAAAATTATGTGACTGGATGAACAGTGAATTAAAGTTGATATAATATATAAAATGATTGTTTTGTATTATTTTATTATATTGATAATATTGATAATAGTGGGGTTGAGTTAAAGTTGAGTTAGATTTGAAGTATGAATTGAATGTGAATGAATTATTTTGTAAACAAACATGCGAGCATCCATAATGCTTTGTGTTTATGAAAAAAAAATGCCACATAGGAAATAAACATAGGGGTGTATTTAATAGGAATTTCTAAATATTTTTTAAAACTTTAGAAATCCTGGTATATTCAATTTAGATTTGTTAAGACTTTTAAAAATCATGGGGGTATTCAATTGAGATTTTAAAAAGTCTTACAAAATTTTGAGACATTTGAATTTATTTGGCACTATGATTTGTTAAGACCTTTTAAGAATTGGTGTAATTTTTAAAGAAAAATTTTTATATGAAATCTCATTTCAAATCCCACCTTCAAATTTAATAATATTTTAGATATTCCTTCAAAATCAAAAAAATTTAAAAAGTCTGAAATCTTGAAAAAGTCCTAAAATGTCACTTGAAATCTCAATTGAATACACCCCCTATAGTCTATAAAAATATACTAGTACAATACATGTGTATTACACGGGTGCTTGTTAATTATTATTCTGAAATTTTAAAATCAATGAGAAAAATTATTTTAAATTTTTATTTACTTCTTAGAAAAAATATATATTATTATATAGTTTAGAATGACACTTGTTACTTGTGCGACTTACATGTGTTATATTGCAACAATTTTTATAATTTATATCGTATAACTACTTGAAATATAAATATATTAATGATAAATAATTTTATTTTTCTAATTAATATTAAAAAAATTATTATTATTATAAAGATAAATATAATTTTTTTTTATACATACAATATGGATGTTAAATCGAAATTCATCAAGAGATGATTAATTTGATATAGTATATATGTAAAATTGATACAAAATACAAAAATTATAACTTTTAAAATACATTTATAATTCAATGGTTATAATAAGAAATAATATTAAAATACAATTAATACATGTAGCACGACCATAAATTATCAACATATTTATGGATAATTCGGAACTAATTATTTTTTGATTTGAAGTAAATTAAAAGCTACCCAAGCCTAATAACGAAACATGTAACTTTGCCACAAAGAATCCCGAAGCATGCGAGTCTGCCACTTAGGCTTAGCACGTTCTGAATTAATATATAAAGGGGTTTTTTAATGCAAGTGCAAGTGAACTGAGTTTTGCTTAAATATAAAACAAAAAAAAAAATTCAGTCTACCTTTAATTCTATTTTAACTTAAGTAAAAAGACTCAGTCTGTTTGCGTTTGAGTGAATCGTGTTAGTTTCATATAATTCTATCCATGTCAATTGGACTTGTTTATCTACCGGCCACGTAACTAAAATTAAATAAATATTTTAATGTCGTGCAATCAAAATTAGATCTTCATAAAAAGTAAAAAATGAAAAAAGAAAAAAATATTTGGGCCAGCTGTGTTTATCAGACTCGGTTTATTTGAATATCTTGTTTATTATTTGAGCAGGTGCAGATGTAATCAATAATCATATGAGTCAGCCGCCACGCGTCAGTTGGTGAATCCCTCTCCCGCCGCCCTCTAAATACATACAAGCTGTGGTTCGAGAGTTGAAAGAGAAACACTACGTTGAGAAGAGAAAAAAGATGGGGGGCGGCGGCGGCGGGGAGAAGAAAGGAAACGCGAATGCCCCTCTGAAGGCGCTGAACCACGTGTCGCGTGTGTGCCGGTCGGTGGAGAAATCGGTGGAGTTCTACACCAAGATCTTGGGCTTCGTGGAGGTGGAGCGGCCGGAGTCGTTTGACTTCGACGGCGCGTGGCTCTTCAACTACGGCGTGGGTGTGCACTTGGTCAAGTGCAGGGATGACGATGATGAGGCGGAGAAGCTGCCCGGGGACGCCAATCGCCCTTTGGACCCCATGGATAACCATATTTCCTTCCAGGTAAATTAATTTCCTATTTCAATTACATTATTAATTTTATCTCCTTATCTATCTAGGTCAATTAACTACTCCCTCCGTTAATTACTTTTAATAATTGGGGAGATAGCTACGGTCCCGTTACAGAACCATTTCGTCTGTCGGGGTATGAAATCATTAGATCAACTATCTCCGATGACATGATGATCCAACTATTGGTTGATTTAGTGTGAGAAGATGGAGGAGATGGAAGAGAAGCTAAAGGAGGGGGGCGTGAAGTACATGAAGAGGACGATCGGGGAAGAGGAAGGTGCCCCCGTCGACCAGTTGTTTTTGAACGACCCTGATGGATTCATGATCGAGATTTGTAACTGTGAGAATCTCAAGCTCCAATCTTCCCGACCGATTAAGCTTCCTTCTGATAAGCACAATCCCCCGATTGAGCTCACCGAGACTGATGAGTAAGCAAGATTTTACATTAAATAGCTGTTAATGTTATCCGTATAAGATTGTACGTACCGCTGTTTTTGTTACTATGTATAATTAGTATGTATGTGAGAAGTATCTTAGAAATATCGTGATTAAAAATTCAAATTTAGTTGATCAACGGTCCTGATATTATAGAAATATCTCATGAAAAACTTGTTTTTAGATTCAAGATCTCAGTTCGTTTTTTTTTTTTTTTTTTNNNCTATCTTCATCATGACTTGATAATTTTTTTTTTCTCAAGAATGGAGTAGGCTAGCATCCTCGGAGGATAAGATGGGGAATATGTGATTTTGTTGTGGATTGTGTGGAGAGAATTGATTGCATTCTCCTGTATAGAATGAGTTAGTATGATGCCCGATCGGTTCGTTGCGGAGTAACGATTAGATGATTTGAATGTTTCCGAACCTCTTAATGTCTTTTTTTTTTCCATCTCGTGTCTTGGGATTAGTTCTAGGAGTCGTCAGGCGCCTGTCGCCTAGGCAGGGCCTAGTCGGCGTCTAGGCGACAACCTATAAATCAAGATTAAATATTTTATTTTTTTATTTATTTTCATTACTTATAAAATAAAAATATCTCAACTTATATATATATAAATAATTACTAGTTGATGCATTTAATAAAACTTATTTTCATTTTCCTCTAAAATAAGTTATATTTTTTAATTAACTATTCACTAATCTGCTAAAATCATTACTCTTAATATATATATTTTAGTTATTTATTTTTTGGATCAGTTACTAAATTAATTCTAAATTTGGTAGCAAAATACTCAAATGTGTAACGGTTAATGTTGGAACTTAAAGTTGATTGACACATTCAGAGCTATAATCGTTATATAATTTGGTTGCATTGTTGGAAGAAAAATATGATTGACAATTTTTTTTTTATTTTTATTTTTTTTGTAAAAATCAGAAAAACCAATAATTTTTTTTATTTACGTTAATTTCTTTAATATATGCCACAAATATATAAATTATTTTATTCATGTTACTAATGTAACGTTGCATGGTTAAAATTAGCTCTCTTATTAATTTTGAATTAATTTTGAATGATAAAAATAACTTAAGAAAAAATAATAATTTTTATAGGATAGAAGTACATGTCTAATTAATAATACAAACAAAAACGTGTTTTACATTTGTGCAGATATACAGGATCAAATGCTAATAATAAATCAACACACCTAAGTCTAAATAATAATATTAGTATATTATAAGAAAAATATGATAACAAAATAATGTAATTAGTATTTAAAAGAAAAAAAATGAAAAATTTCAGCTGAGCCCGCCTAGTAGCGCCTAAGGTCCGTCTTGGCGTCGCTTGGCCGCATAGCCCACCTAGGCGCTCCTAGGTCTACCTAGTCCGCGCCTAGATGTCTGATCGATTTTTTCAGCCGATTTTTTAAATCGGAGGCGGTCGGGCACCGCCTAGCTAGCGCCTAAGCGCGGCCTAGCCTTTTAGAACAAAGGTCTTGGGGTACGTAGTTCTCATTTTATTTTATTTTTTATGACAATTTTGTAATTCTCTTGCCATTTGAATTAACTTTACGTGTGTTCACATTATTATTATTAGTTCAACACAAATAAACTTTTAAAAGGACTTCATTTTCTAATTTTGTGATCAAATATCATTGCTCGAGTCCGATTACGAACGACCTTCATTGACCGACACGATCCGAAGTTGAGACTTCTTCAAGTATTTGGTTAAGATTATATATGCTGACAACCTATATATATAATACCTGCAACTTTGATGCAAAACATGACTTGCAAGTTAATTTGAGGGACATGACATGCATGGATGAGTTGTAACTTCTAAGGCAAAGCAAGTAGGTCAGTGATGAGCCCTTTTTGCTTATTATCAACGTATGAAAATCATCTAAATCAAAATAGAGAACGGGAATACATACATACGGAGTAGTTTCGTCAGTATTTGTTATCGTAGATTTTATGTACACAACATAATCTATATGTATATCTAATGATGAAAAACAGTACTGACTGAATCATCCCGTAACGTACCTTAGTTAGCATTTTTCTATGAAATGATCACAACCTTACTAATTATAATATGTCAAACTCATTGCTAGCTATAATAACATAAATTACTACAACTCCTTTATTAATCCATACATATATCATCATATATCAATTCGTCATAATTTATAAACAAGCAGTGTTGCTAATATTTAAAAAAATATTTGTCAAAATATTTAATTTTCACACTGCTGCTGCTGCAGGTAAAGAAAGAGAATTATTTCTTGATTTGCATCTCTGTTTATCCCCCAAATCTCCCTCATCTGTCGTCTCCTCAACCTTACCCAAAAAGTCATACTCAACGACCCCTTCCCGACGATAACAGTACTTCACCATCCCCACATAAAACGACACCGCAAGCACCGCCCACAAAATCAAGCACAGCCCGAACTGAATGTTGACCAGCGCCTTGGCCCGATCCAGGGCCCGATCCCCGTGACACAACACCGCCACCCGCCCCGGCTGGGCCTTCAAGAAACATCCTTCTGGAAGCATCCCGGGGCTCCACAGCAAGACTCCCGTCACCATCAGCCACACCCCCTGAAAGACCACGCTGAAAGCCCGAACGAACGAGTTCACGAAGCTCCCGGGCCAGGCGATGGCGAGCAGCGTCCCGGCCAAGGACGCGAAGGTGACGAGCTGTAGCAGCCAGTGGTAGTGTCCCTCGAGCCCCGCGTGATCGGTGGAGTGGAGGTGCAGGACGAGCAGCTGAAGCCCAAAGGAGAGGGCCTGGAGGAAGTGAACCAGCCCGTTATCGGTTGGGGACGACGGGCGGCCGTGGGCCCGGTCCAAGACGATGGCAAACGAGGCGTAGACGAAGAACGAGAGGGCGATGATGACGTGTTCCGTGTGGGGGAGTTTCTTGGTGGATGTTAGGGGGCCCCGGCCGATGGATAGCTCCATAGACGAGAAGATTGTGGTGACGAGTATGATTGTGAAGGGCTCGAGGTGCCTGAGGCGCGGGACGGGGAACCACGGCCGGGTTAGGAAGGATTTTGGGTGGAGTGCATGGAGCTTGATGGAGTTGAAGAGGTGCCAGAGGCCGATGATCGAGTATGCCAGACCCATTGCTACGTGGCCCGTCGTGCCTCCCATCTTATTTTGCTTTGTTACCTTTGTAGTTGGAGATATGGAATATATAGAACGAATGATATTAGCTGAGATGTGTCTGATGAGCGGTTCTTGAAAGAGAAGAGAGTTGTATTTGAGTAGTTAAGAGAAAAACCAAAGCAATTGAAATATCATCACCTTGCCTTGTACTGAAAAAATGATGAGTGGGTTGGGTTATAATAATGCACTTTATTAGGAGAAGGGACTTGTTGACGACGAAAATTCTACTTAAAGGCATGGTTATTTGTTGCTGTTCGGGCGTGCATCAAATTGGTACGCAATATGATGTACTAAATTATAACTAATTTTCTATTTTTCTTGTGTTGTTAGAAGAAAAAAATTTGTAATGCTTTGGGTCTTCATCATTTATTGTTGTTGGGTGGGAACGTTTTGTTCAAAATAAGAATGAGTGGTGTCGTAATTTATTTTGGGAAAATGTTAGTAATCCTGTTAAACCATTGAGATTTACAACCGTTAGATACACATAATCAATTCAAAATATGTTATTATAGCAACTTAAAATAATATAATCAGGGAACTGCTACGGTTTCGTTACGAAACCATTCCATCGGGTTAATCGTTAGATCATCATGTAACCGTTGGGATAGTTAATCTAACGGTTACAAACCCCGACGGAATGGTTCCATAACGAGACCGTAGCATCTCTCATTTAATCATTGTGTATAGCAAAATCTATAAATATATAATTTGGCAAGACAAGCATTTAATTTTATTGTGATGCATTAAATTTTATTCTCTCTCCAATTTTTTTAGCATTCAATTTCATTTTTAAGTTACAAATTAACTTGCTTGAATGCCATAAATTATGAGCATAAATCAATTAAGGGAGTTACAAAATTGATTTAGCATGAAGAAAATGGTTGTAATGGCTCTTCTATTTTATTATTTCCTATTTGTTTGAGGGTACCGTTAAAATTTCGACGCAAATTTTTTTTTAACATGGTCTCCTATACTATGGCGATCATCAAGAGTCAAGATCAATCTCTCTCACACGTTCGCTTAGTCTTGAATGACCCTGTTTTCAGTAATAAACAATTGGACGTTGCTTTTCTGGAGTTACTAATGGGAAGTGTTTGAAAATAATGATATGTGGTGATGGTGATTTGACGACAGAAAAACCATAAATATTGTATACAAACAATATGTTTAATAAAATTTAAAATCATTTCCTTAATTCATATTTTTTCTCATGAAATGAATTATGGTTATGTATTTTTTTTATATTATTATCTTTTCTAAGTATTTTTCTCCGTGCAAATGCACGGGTTGAGCACTAGAATGACTTATATTATTATCATTTCCTTCACATTATGTCACTTCCAAATTGCTTATTATAATTATTAATAAAATAACTATGATAATTATTCCCCGTAGTTGGAAAATCCCCATCAACAAAAGAATGACTTATAACAGTTGTTTATCATATTTATTTTGCAAAAATTAATCCCAAAGATCAGACACATTATAATTCGAATTATTTATATTAATTAAAATAAATTAATACTTAGCTAAATTATGATGGCCAGATAAATTTGTTTATAATCCCAATACTAACTCCTTCAAAACATGGATGAATTTCAATATATTCTTATTTTATGGAAAAATAAAACTAGCGGTGTTTATAAATTCTTCCATGTACAAGTTCAAAAATTTCAAGGATTTAAATAGTCCCAAGTTTGTTTTTTTCTTCTTAAAAAGGAGGATCTAAACTGGTTCTCCAATTCTCCTCCGAGTGACTCGAACTCGGGACATGGTACACGGCAAGTGAGGGTACAATAGTCCCAAGTTTGTTAACCCAACTATGCTTATAGGTACTGTTTAATTTTTTGTCTTTATAAATAGCTATTACATTTTCCTTTGTTGTTTTAATTATATCAATCAATTATTTTTTTATTATTATTGTTGTTATTATTATTATTTTGAAGATATAATCGTTAGAATAATCATGTACCAAAATGTGCAAACTACCATCTTCAAAAGGTGTTGACAAGAGATTTGTTGACCAAAATTGTATGTGGCACGATCTAGAGTCATCAGTCGGAGGAGTTTGGAGATAATAATTTGTGTTGATGGAGATTGTGACGATAGAAAAACCACGAATGTTGTATATAAAGAAATATTTAATAATATTTAGATATTATTTCTTATTTTGTTTCAATGATTATGTTATTATTTTTATATTTATTTTTTTTTACTTTATTCTCTTCTATCATATAACTTTCCGTGCAAATGCACGGGCCAAAAACTAGTTATTTTCTGGTGGCCCATGCCTAGAAATAAGTACATTAATTTTACCATACATCAAATTTAATAACCACGAAAATCATATCGAGATGGAACAGAATAACCACGAGCAACGACGACGGAAAAAGAGGGGACAACCAAGTCCCTCGCAATCTCCTACGGGATTTGGCTGAACCAGGGATCCGACCGGTAACTTCTTGCATCCAGACAAACGGTCCATTACAATCAACACTTGTACATTGATCCACATAAACGGCATGTCATCACTACAAACGGAGAGTAGATTTTATTACATTCCCGTCCTACGTGGGAAGATCTGATTGGTCCTGTGACAAAACTTAGGTGGAACATACAATTACAATTCTACCGCTTCATCGAATTCTCTCCTTCACAGTCCTCACTCTGCAAAACTTAATAACAGCAACAAAAACAGCGCGAGAAGAAAATCAAACAAGCAAAATTCAACAGAAATTCTTCTTAGAACCTACTGAGAGAGAACGAAAATCTAACGACGAAACGAGAATCTCTCTCTCTCTCTCTCTCTCTCTCTCTTGTATCTCTACATCCGAATCAACGTTCGTGTTGGGGGCATTAGCATTCTGGTACACAGGCTTACGTGATGGCGTGGTGTATAAAGGGCGCGAACAGATCGGCGATGTCGGCGTTTGCGCCCAATGGCCCGTACATGGCGGCGGGGACGATGGCGGGTGCGGTGGATCTGCAGTTCAGCTCCTCTGCCAATCTGGATATATTCGAGCTCGATTTCGCGTCGAACGATCGGCAGCTGATCCTGGCGGGATCCGCGCCGAGTTCTGAGCGCTTCAATCGGATTTCGTGGGGTAAGGGACCCGCTGATTCCGAGGAGTATTCGCTCGGCCTCGTTGCCGGTGGCCTCGTCGATGGGAATATCGGGCTCTGGAACCCCAAGTCTCTGATCTCGTGAGTTTGGTTTTCCTGGAATTTCTTTCTACATTTCATCGCTATTATTTACATTTTGTGTTTCTTGTATTGTCGATTATTATTGTTATAGGGAAATGCTACAATCCCGTTACAGAACCATTTCGTCAGGGTTTGTAACCGTTAGATCATCATGTATAGTTGATTCAACCGTTACAAACCCCGACGGAATGGTTCCGCAACGGGACCGTAGCAGTGGTCATTGTTATATTTGATAGACATGTTCAAGTCATAAAGATTTGAGGTAATTCCCACCATATATATCTAGCAAAGTTACTGTATTCATGTGTCAGCTTTAGTTGAGCAAATGAAGGAAGGAAGTCTTTCAAGTTTTTGTTTCACCTTGTTCTTATTTCTCTCTCTATTAATTTATTATTCTTATTATTATTTTGTTATTTTTATTATTTTTATTTATTTAATTTTACAGTTCTGGCACAAATAAAAAGACTTGTGATACAATAGAGAATGCTCTTGTTGGGAATCTTTCAAGACATAGAGGACCAGTGAGTTCATGCTCCTTCATTTCACATTTACTGTACATTTTTCTGTTTTCACTTTTTTTAACTTTCGTTTCAAATTACGGTGGATTGATTTGGTTTACCGAATACTGGTTAGGTTCATGGTTTGGAGTTCAGTTCCCTTTCTCCGGACCGTCTTGCTTCTGGAGCTGATGAAGGTGATATTTGTATATGGGATGTATCAAAACCATTGGAACCAACACCACTCAAGGTATGTTGATGATTGGACTGAATGTACTTTTTAGAGAATAAATTTCAGCTTGTCTCTATATATATATATTTGTACGAGATGATTGGGAATACCAAATATATGTGCAGATGTCTTAATTCCCACTGTCACTTTGACCAGATAATTTGTTGAGACTTGAAGAATACTTGTTCCCATATGGAAAGATCTGCAACGTATGTTTGAATAGATTGATCATGTTACAGAATGAATTTGTTGGTATCCATGGTTGTTTTCGTTTCAAATCTGCAGATTCAATTGCAACTTGTTTTTTCACACACACACACACACACGGAGAGAGAGAGGCAGAAAGAAAATTGCACTCTTGTTGTGTTATAGGGAGTGTTAGAGAAGGTCTATTCTCCATTATATGTTCAGAGATCATATTAAAAATGAAAAGTTGGTACTTTCAAGGGAACAAAATAATGCGATGTCTTGTAGACACTTATCCACCTAGATGACATTTAATGTTGTGTAATTGTAGTCCACAGTGGGTGACATTTTCGACTGTAGGGAATGTGTGTTTGTTTTTCCATCATAGCAATTGGGGGGCAGAAAACATATAATTTTTTAGAGGGACTCGAAATATTTATTTTCGGAACTATAAGTAGCTAGTACATTTTTTCTACTGGAGAAAAAAAGGTGGTAAGTGAAATAAGAAACACATCATTGCTTTGCATGAGTGGAGATTGGTTACTTTCCAAGTTATTTAACGAGAGCATCAAAATATTTCCGTTGTATGATTGGTTTCAAATAATATCAAAAAGGAAAGAGGGATCTTTATCTTCTTAAAACTGTGTTAAAAAAAAGGTGGATGATGTATGACCTTCAGAACTCCGACTCAGAGGGTATGAAATCACCTAGCTTTTAGTTGTGTTTCAAAATTATGGAAGGAGGGAGAAAGGAGGGGAAGAGAGTGGCATTGACCGTTTCCCTTGGGTGGTTTGGGTGCTAGGTAAGATAACCCTATACTCCGGGTACAAAGAAGGAAAAGAGAATGAATAGAATTTAACCTCTTCTTTTGTTTGATACTCTGATATCATGAAAGAAAGAAAAGCCAATGGGAGGACAACCATTTGTAATTTGGCTCGACCTTTACCCATTTTGTTCTTTATTTGGATGAGAATTCCTCTCTTCCTTTGTTCAATCTATTCCTCATTGAGAATAACCCTTCTTTCTTCCTTCAATCTTTTCATCCTTTCTTCATCTAATCTTTGTGCAGGTGTGACCAAGAAAATCAAATTACAAATTTTACATGCCTTGTTAATTTGAATTTCTTATGGCAGAAGGATTCTTAAGATTTGAATTATTCTTGGTAGAAGAATTTTATTTTTGAATTGAAAAGCTTGCCGAACTTGAATGTAACAATCATTTTGTCTATATATCTCCGCTTGACAACTTCATCGCCTTGGACTTACCTATTGGTGTTGGATACTCAAATTTAGATATTTTGAACTGTTTCACAGGGTAGTGGATCTGCTACACAAGATGAAATTTCATTTTTGTCCTGGAATAGCAAGGCGAAGCACATACTTGCTTCCACATCATATAATGGGACAACTGGTAAGAAGAATTGTCTTGGTTTAATATATACCCTTGAATCTTGCATTTTGCTTGAAATAATAGCCCTGTCTGTAATTTCAGTGGTTTGGGATCTGAACAAGCAAAAGCCAGTTATAAGGTATAAATTTATCTTGTAAAAGTGAAGTAGGATAGTTGCTACGTCAACCATTGACCATGAGCAGGATATATTTCAATCTCTGATATTTATTATGGCATCAACTGCAGTTTCTCTGATTCAACTAGAAGGAGGTGCTCTGTGTTGCAGTGGAATCCGGATGTTGCTACGCAGCTTATAGTTGCTTCTGATGAAGATAGTTCACCTTCTCTCAGGGTAATTTTAACTTTTTGTTTAAAGCCTTTCAAACCCTACTTGATTTCCAATCATTGTGATTGGCCGATATTCTTGTTCAGCTGTGGGATATGCGGAATATAATGTCACCCGTAAAAGAGTTTGTAGGGCACACTAAAGGTATGTTTTTTTTCATTTGTAGTTTCACTTCTGACTTTATATGTAGTTCTCGTTTTATTGTATTACTTGTTGATTATCTTGCTTCTGATATCACAATTTGTTCCATCATATGTAGTTCTTCATCGCTTAAAGTGGAGTAGCCAACTTTTACTGTGTACAATTCGCTTTGCTGATTAGATATCTTGTTGTGCTTGTCCACTCATTTATCATTCATCTATTTTCCAAGTTCCTTTCCGAAAAAGTAATTAGTCAAGGTTCAAGGTTCACCACATCTATTTTTCTAGATTATATGATTTCTTTTTAAAACATAAAAAAAACCCTCTAAAAAATGGAACATAAGAAATTATGCATTTGACGTATATAATTGCATTTGGTTGATATCATATTTCCGTCTGTTCTTTCTGATCCTGGAAGTTGGTGTATTAGCATTATTTTTTGTTTTGAGTAATCATATGATGGGGAAAGGCAGATATGATTGTGCCTACTAGAACTCGATGCTTACCTTACTAGCACGATACCGAAATGGCTCAGCGACGAAGGTCATGTAGGAACAGTCAAGCTTATTGAAGCAAGCACATTCTCTATTGGGAGGACTTGTTCATATTGTTCTGAAATTTACTTGAGTTGCCTGCTTTACTTTATGTTAGAATTCTGATCGTGAACTGGAGAGACCAGTGGGAGATTTGGCTACATGCAACATTCGTTCTAGAATTATCCATGTTAACTCGATAATACTTTTATGTTTGTTTGCCCACATTATAATGTGGAAGACCAAGACATTGCAACATCAGCATGGCTCTGTTAACAATCCAGATGCCCTGAAAATACAGCATATAGTTATCTAACACATGATACCTGTAAGCATTAATTTCATATTGTATATCACTACAACGCTAGATCTCATGGAACAGGAGTCATTGCAATGTCGTGGTGCCCCACTGACAGCTCTTATCTGCTTACATGTGCTAAAGATAACCGAACCATATGCTGGGACACTTTATCTGGAGAGGTTAGCTGTACTTGCTTACTTTCCTCTGTATACAAGATTTTCTCAGACAATTGTTTCTTCATTCTTTGAGCAAGGCAGCTAGCTTTCTGCCCATATCCTCTGGTTGAATTGAACTTTTTCCTGTAGATAGTGGCTGAACTGCCTGCTGGAACCAACTGGAATTTTGATGTGCACTGGTATTCTGAAATACCTGGAGTCATATCGGCTTCTTCATTTGATGGGAATATTGGCCTTTATAATATAGAGGTTCTGTCTAATCCCGTGAAACTAAAGTTTATGCATTTTCTGACTGACTTATACAGTATATGTCCGAAAGATGGACTTGGATACCTTCCCTTTTCTTTTCTTTTCCTCTTCTAATGCTCTTGGATAACCTTTTACTGACGATGGAATGAGTTTTTTGCCAAATGAATTATGTAACACTATTTTACATATGAATACTTGATCAGACTTTTGGACTGTGAACTTATCACTAATGTAATTCAGAGTACTGAATAATCCTTTTTCTTTTTTGTTTGTTTTATTAGTTATGTTTCTGGAAAATAGTGACTTCCCAGAAATCTTTGGATTTGTTTGTGTGCCATGGAACTCAGCTATATGTATTGAAATGCAGGGATGTGGACGTTATGGCTTTGCTGAAAGTGACTTCAGTGCAGGTGTCGCTTTTTTTATGTTTTTATAAGTTAATTTTGTCCATGTAAATTTATCATTCTTCTGGTGTGTCTTTCTGGTTGCTGATGAGGCAATTACATAGCCTGCAAAGAGAAATAATCATATTATGTGTAACAACCAAAAATATGTGGTCGTATGGGCCGAGGGTTTCAGTAATGTTTGCAGTTTACTTCATTTTTTTTTTCAAATTATAAAGACGAGACAGTTGTCAGAAAGGTGTCTTTCTCTTCAACTCCCAATTGTCATTCATTAAACTGAATCAATAGTTCTGTAAAGCCATCTTTCAATGGTTTTCGTTTGTAATTCTTCCTCCACTTCTGTTCTGATAAGCTCTCATGGCACATTGGTAGTAGTGTCGCCCTGCACTGTTGATTAGGTTATGGTTATTCATCTGTACATGTTTGTGCAGCATCATTCAAAGCTCCAAAGTGGTACAATTCTAAAGCTGGAGTATCATTTGGTTTTGGTGGGAAACTTGTTTCATTTAACTCCAATAAGGTATCCATGGGAATTTTAACTGTTGATTTCTCTTGGCATATTTTTTTCATTTCGTGTCACTGTTACTCTTTTCCAGATCTATTTGCGTGACTTAGTAACAGAGCAAGGTTTAGTGAGTCGATCATCTGAATTCGAAGTTGCGATAAAGAATGGTGACAGATCAACCCTGAAACTATTATGTGAAAGGAAATCTCAAGAGTCCAAGTACGTATTATTCTTTAGACTCTCAAGAGTCCAAGTACGTATTATTCTTTAGACATAAACCATTAATAGTTGCAGATATTGGGATATGAACTTATCCAAACCAATTCATTTCCGGCTCAGGTCTGTTGAGGAGAGGGAAACTTGGGGCTTCTTGAAGCTTATGTTCAACGAGGAAGGGACCGCAACGTCAAATATTCTTTCTCATCTGGGCTTCAGTCAACCAGCTGAAGAAAACAGTACCTTAAATAACGAAATATCTAAGCAAATGAATGCCCTCGACTTAGGTAACAGTACGGAAAACGGAGAAGTAATATCTGAAAACCAACAATCCTCATTGCTTGTGACTGATAATGGGGTAGATTTCTTCGATAATATTCCTAGTCCAAGAGCAGATACACCTAGGTCAACTTTTACGAATGAAGTTATAAGTGGTGACACTGGAAATGAGTCACTACAAGAACTGAGTGGACAAGATGAGAGCTCTAGTTCTTCATTTGATGATGCAGTACAGCGTGCTCTGGTCGTCGGGGATTATAAAGGGGCAATTGCACTATGCATATCAGAAAATAGACAGGCAGATGCTTTGGTCATTGCTCATGTCAGCGGCCCTGCCTTGTGGGAGAGTACACGTGATCAGTACCTGAATGCTAGTCATTCTCCTTATCTAAAGGTGGTAACAGACACTATTTAAGGTTTACTGATAATGATTTCGTCTACTCTTGCTGTTGGTTGTTTACATGTGATTTTCTATGTTTATTGAGCCTTAGGTTCTTTCTGCCATGGTGAACAATGACCTCATGAGCATCGCAAAGACAAGGCCACTAAAATCATGGAAGGAGACTCTTGCCCTGTTTTGCACAGTATGTTGCTTAATACTTTAATTGTTCGGCAACAAACTTTCATATTCATCTGGAGCGTGAAAAGCTCTAACGCATATAGTTAATTTATCCCGACTCATAGCATCAACTCGATTAGACCCACTTCTTCCACTTAGCCACACTTAGAAATATGTTTTTTAGAACCCCATTTGTTCTGTCAGGTATTTGTTTGAATAGGTATATAGCCAAAAGATGTGTAGGTGTGTGTGTGGATTTTTATGTCTGGTCTTTGTGATGGTGCAATTTCTGCTGAAGCTTGAGGCAAAGTTTCAACTAGAAAATAATAACAAGAAAACAGAAACATGGGTGCTCTCAGGGGAAATAAAAAATAAAAAAATAGGCAAACTTATATGGTCTATTGTGCAAATTTTGACTTTTTGAGGATAGTTAACATGTTGTGGTCACAGGATTTAAACAGTATTTATGCTTATAATAACTGTGCTCCCTTCCAAGAAATAAAGTAGTTTTTCAGTTTGTATATATGTATCTGTTGTTCTTTGTATATGCTTATCCTTGTTGGGCATTACTATTTGAATGAACAGAAATACGTGATTTGTCTTTGGGGGTATTTGATTCAAAGCCTTAAACAATTCCGCCCAATAAACTACTATTTCTTGACATTGTTTTACACAATTGCATCATCAGTTCGCACAGCCGGATGAGTGGGCTCAATTATGCAATACTCTTGCCGCCAGACTCATAGCCGTTAATGATACAGCTGCAGCAACCCTCTGTTATGCATGTGCTAGAAATATTGACAAAGTAGTGGAGATTTGGTCAAGGAATCTTGGAAGGGAGCACGATGAAAGTTCCTATTTAGACCGTCTCCAGGTAAGCAAGCATCGATTAAGTGACATCAGATGTAATATGTATGTACTTAAACGCCATAATTCTTTTTAAAAGGATTTAATGGAGAAGACCATTGTCTTTGCTGTTGCTACTGGAGAGAAGCAATTCAGTTCTTCGTTATGTAAGCTAATTGAGAAATATGCTGAAATACTAGCAAATCAAGGGCTTCTAAGTACCGCTATGGAGTACTTGAATCTTCTGGGGACCGAACAACTATCCACTGAACTTATGATCTTACGTGACCGTATAGCATTATCAACCGAGCCAGGTGTGTTTGACATCTCCTGTCATATTCTTATCATTTTGAGATTCCACCAAACTAGTTTCCCAGATCCTGTTAATTGTGAGATCTTTGGAAACCCCATAATTAATCGTGATAGTGCTTCATCTGTTAAGATGATTTACCTGATACATCTATGAACCTCTATAATTAAACTTCTCGAACCCAAAAATGTTCTTTTTTTTTCCTCTGCAGAAATTTTTGAGACCTCAACTTGTGATAACTCTCAATTACAAAATGGATATGCTTACAGTGCTCGCCAATCAAGTCATGGTGTTACTGGTGCTTCTCAAAATTATTATCCAGTAAATAAATCCTGCTTCTTTGTATCTGAAATGCTTGATCCTGTTCGATTTATAAGTGTTTTAAATATTGCTGTTGCTCTTTTCTCCCTCAGGATGCAAACCCATCCCAGGTACAATCAACTGTTCCAAGCAGCCCATACAGTGAAAATTATCAACAGTATAATGCTCCTCCAACATATCAACCAGTTCCCGCACCAAATATCCAGCCGACCAGATTTGTTCCTTCTCCGCCTGTTCCAGCCTCAGTGGTAATGATCTTTCATATAATTATTAACTCAGGTGAATTTTGATTCAACTAGCAATTCTTTAGAGCTAATTCTGACTTATGTATTCTCGACATCGTTTTTAGCCAAGCTATCCTCTGCCTCCAATAAATACTCGGCCTGCTGCAAAGTTTGTTCCTTCAAATCCTCCTTTGTTGAAGAACCTCGAGCAATACCAGCAGCCATCATCCTTGGGCTCTCAGTTGTATCCAGTATGCTACTCCACCTTCACTTTCGTAGCGTGTTCATAAATTTAGGTAGAAAATGATTTCCTATAAAAAAAACTTAAAAAGAACCAATACTATTCGTCAATTTGTCTCATCGAATACATTTACACAGTTATAGAAGGAAAAAAAAAAATCATGACGACAAATTTGCCTACCAATTCCACTATTTTACCCACTCGCATATATTTCTTACTTCGAATCATTTCCAATTATTTTTTTATATAATCACACACTAAAATTTAATTTTCTTTCGTTTTAGAATTTTTTCATCTCTATTTTATTTTCCAGCAAAACGAAAATTTCCAAATTGAAATCATATCCAATAACCTCACTGGACCTCATCTTTCAGTTATTATGCTTTATGCCATTATTTATATAGGTTGACGCTAATCCTAATTACCAACGAGGCCCTCCTGTGATTGCTGCTTATGATGCCAACATATCTCAAATTGGACCAGCCTCTGTGCAATCCATGCCCCAGATGTTCACTCCTAATCCACCTCGCGTTTTTACCCCCGTCAGTAGTAATTTTACCCCCGTCAGTAGTAATTCAGAGGCTCAAAGACCTGGGATGAATCAAGTTCAACACCAGCCTCCTCAGCATCAACCAACTGTAACTCCTGCGAGTCCCCTGCCAACTGTGCAGACAGTTGATACTTCTAGTGTGCCCGGTAAAAGCATTATCTTTCCATAGTTAATTTTTCATCTAGAATATGCCCTTTTTCCCCTAAGAAACTAGAGATCATTGTGAGTAGCCTCCCAGATACTCCCTAATATTGGTTAGCAGGGTAAAACAAATATCGAGGAGTGGGACCAAAGCTTGTTGACAAGACTTAATGAAAACATCCGGCTTAAGCAACACTTGTTAATCATACATGTTACATAGGCTCTCAACTACTTTCATGTCTGTAAATTTGCTCCCCTTGCCAGAGCATATTTGTTACCAGATTCTGTCCTTTGGCTGTTTGGCATATAATTAGAAAGGCTACTGTTTCTGTTTAACCAAAATATATATAAAAAGCTGAAGATGCATTGATTGTCATCTACATTTACAAGGACTCGTTTGATATTTGCAGCATTTTTTGTTCTGAAAGATACAGTAATTTATTTTTTAAAATAGTATTGGTAGTTAGCTTAAATGTCCAAGAAAAATTTCCTATATTTAACCCTCATTTTTTTACTACTATTTGATTGAGTCGACTTACTAAAAAAAAAAGAGCAGTTCATATAAATATATATACTCCATTATCTTTTGCTGGATCAACTCGAGTCATCCATCCAGTTAACTGATGTCTTCATTCTAACCTCACCACAGCACCACAGAAACCTGTTATCACAACCTTGACGAAACTCTTTAACGAGACAAGTGAAGCTCTAGGCGGAGCACTAGCAAACCCGGCCAAGAAGCGGGAAATAGAGGACAACTCAAAGAAGTTAGGTGGCTTGTTTGCCAAGCTCAATAGTGGAGACATATCCGCAAATGCAGCAGAAAAGCTTGTACAGCTCTGCCAGGCACTCGACAATGGTGATTTCGGTACAGCCCTTCAAATCCAGGTAAAGCCAAAGAAATCTTTGACAATTTTCGCTTTTTCTATATTTTGGATATACGATTATTTGTACATAAGATAGTCGAATACACTTTAGACTTGTCGACTTTTGGTTTTAGGTGCTTCTCCCAACAAGTGATTGGGATGAGTGCAATTTTTGGCTGGCTACTCTCAAAAGAATGATCAAGACGAGACAGAATTTAAGATAATATACTTAACAGACTCCCGCTTCTTGCAAGAACCAATTGACTTCTTTAGATACCATGCAGGTTTCTGTCGAACTGAACGAGACAGAATTTAAGATAGATTATTAACAGACTACCGGCTTCTTGCAAGAACAAATTATCTTAGGCAGCATATGCAGGTTCGCCAAACTGAACGAGGCAGAATTTAAGATAAACTATTTCACAGATACCCGATTTGCAAGAATTAATTTGACATCTTTAGATAGAATGCAGGTTTCATGATCCCATGATTTTTTTAGCTTTAATTTCAGTTCAGGATAAAGAAAGCTGTCAGGGCATTGATAGCTGGTTATAATTTAATTTATACAGATGCGTTTTTATAAATGTATTTGTTGTAATTTGGTTCAGCTTGGCTCCTCAGTGAGTCAGTGTATCACTACCTGAGGTCACTAACTTCTCCTTTTCATCAAAATTAATGGAAGTTTATGTTTCTTACGAGCCACTTCATATTAGTGATTTTTTGGGCTATGGAGTTGTTAAATTGCTTGACATTTGATTAGTGTGGACAAGTCTGGCTCTTAGCAAGTGTTGCTGGACCGTGCTTAAATCCATATTACTACGAACACAAATTTATACTAGTGTCATTCTATCGTTCAGTTACTCAGGGGCGGATCTAGCAAACTGAGTGAGGTGGGGCCAAAATTTTGTGGTAACTGAAAAAACGAAAAAATG